TTCAAATCCCGGGCTTCATTTGCAATTGCGGTATGCCTACATTACCCCGCTAGTTCGAACTAGCGGGGTAATGTAGACATACCCGCAGAGCAGTGGTTGGAGGGGAGAGGGAGCTTTGGCTCCAGAGAAATGCATGCTGCACCAGCAAGTGGTGCCCAATGCACCAGTTCCCAACCACTGATCACCTACAACATGCAGAACACACAGCACATATCAGTTTCCAGGATCAGGCCCAAAGCCGCAGTAGCTTCAAGGAACTGAAAGGTCCAAAGAAAGTGATGCTTATTTCTGACATCAGGTTGCAGACATGATGAAAGAGCAGAGCAGAGCTATTTGGACCTAATTACAAAAGGAAAGAGGAGACCTAGAAAACAGAATAGATTCAGGAAATGAAAAATTATTGGTCAGCATTGGCCAAAAAGTGCAGATACCTCATCAGCAAACCTGAGCAAGTTCTGAGTGCCATGCAAAGGAGACTAGTCATCAGAAGCCTAGTAATCAAGTAAATTATTTTCCTTCCAAAAATAAATTTGCAAAAGCACTACAATGAGAAAGGGCCATATGGTGATTTTTTTGGGGGAGGGAAGTGAATGGGAAAAAAAGGGGCGGGTGGAGCATCAGGGAGCTCTGGCCCCTGTGGGGACCAGGGACCTGGCACTGGCCTCCACAGAACATTGGCCCTGGCTGCAGAGTGGGACAGGAGCAGTAGCCATGGAGCTCTGGGCCCACCCGTGGAGTTCTGGTCCCTGCCATGGAGCTCTGGCCCCAGCAGCAGCCACGGCCAGGCAGGCAAAAGTGGGGCTAGCCTGGAGCCTTAGCCGGAAGCAGAAGAACAGCACAGGCCATGTCAGGAGGGGCCTCCTCTGGTCCAGTAAATCCCCTCATTTGGAACCGATTAGGTCCCCAGGGTGCCGGACTAGAGAGGTGCTATACACACTTGAACAGGTCATTGGAATTTATACCACAGTCTGCCTTTGATTTTTGTGGATGTTTATTATCCTTACCATGGCTAGTACATGCTAATACTATGTATATATTGATTAGGTAAATCCAGTCATTTGGTTTTGTGGACTCATGGTCTGCAGGAAATGTTGGAAATATACCACACATTGCTAGATGCTGGATTTAGCCTTTGAACATTAGCTGAAAATGTGCCCTCAATTATAGTCAGACTGTTCCCAATATGCTAATTCTGGAAGTTGAAGTGTATTCCCAGCAAGTGTGTGAAATTAATTATGCTCAATGAGTCATGTAATCTGTGTGCAGTTCTGTTGGTGACTATGAACATAGGGAAGTATCAGTGCACAGCTGAGAAATTTGGCTCTAAGGGCATGTCTACACTAGCCCCCTAGTTTGAACTAGGGTGGCTAATGTAGGCATTCGAACTTGCAAATTAAGCCCGGGATTTAAATATCCCGGGCTTCATTTGCATGTTCCTGGGCGGGCACCATTTTTAAATCCCCTTAGTTTGAACTGACTGCCTGCAGCTACACGCAGCAGTCAGAAGTTAATCCGAACTAAAGGAGGAGTAACAGTTAATCTGAACTAAGAATTTAGTTCAGATTAACTTCTGACTGCCGCGTGTAGCCGCGGGCAGTCAGTTCGAACTAAGGGGATTTAAAAATGGCACCCGCCCAGGAACATGCAAATGAAGACCAGGATATTTAAATCCTGGGCTTCATTTGCAAGTTTGAATGCCTATATTAGCCTCCCTAGTTCGAACTAGCGGGCTAGTGTAAACATACCCTAAGTTAGGATTGGTCAAATTTTCAAAGATTTGGATATTGAAATTAATTGAGAGAAATGCTAATAGTTCAGGTGCTTTTCTAAATTTTATGAGCTATCTTAGCTTTTTGAGACTGTACGATTGGGTTGAGACACTCAAGCTATGTCTAGACTGCAGAGTTATACTGGAAAAAAATTCAAATTGCGAACCACAATTTGCGCATCTTTTTCCACTTTTTTTTTTTTAAAAAAGGCTTTTCCAAAATTTGGCCTGTCTATACAGGGCCAAATTTCGGAAAAACCTCCTATTTTGGAACATCCCTTCTTCCTCATACAATGAGGAATACAGTGATGCCGAAAGACTGCATCTGTTTTTTTGGAAACTTCCGAAAAAGCGGATGCATTCCTTGGACGCCGCATAGCTTTTCCAGGATGCCTCCTTTTCTGGGATACCTGCAGTGTAGATATAACCTCACAATAACAGTTTTAGTTTTTACACTTGTTTCCAGGCCTATTTAAAACGAAGTGAAAAGATTTTAAAAGCAAAAAGGTAATGGAGGAAGAAGTTGTATGAAAATGTTTCATTCAGTTATAGTTTGAGACAAACTTTTGAGTTCATTTTTATTTTAATCAACCCCACTCAGATCAGACATGCCTCCCCCAGATACACTTGTTTCAGATGGTATCATAATGGACTTTACATGTTGATCAGTATACATCAGCCAATGGGGACAGAAACAGCTAGATTTTAAGCAGTAGGCTGTAACTTCATCAAACTTCAGTTTCCCTCCTGCTCTGCCTGTTCAGTGGCAGGGATATAGCAGAGATGATGGGGGGACATGTGCGAGCATGTGCCTTCCCCCAGATTCCTGCCAGTGTTTTCTGGCCAGGCCTCTTCCCTGTGTGAACTGCTGGCTGCAGCCATGGGAGGAAGAAGCAGCAGCAAACAGCTGGGAGCTGCAGAGAGCCACTGCTTTTGTGGCTGCCTCTCCCTGCAGAGATAACACCTGGGGGCTACAGGAAGGGGCTACTGAGGAGTGCATGACTCAAGCTGTTGGGGGCACTAGCCTTTAAATTGTGCACCCCTCACTATCAGCAGGTACTAGTTGTCTGTGTTGAAAGAAGGAGAGGCCATCCCTGTGTTCCCACCTGTTTCCTTCCCAATATTTTCTTCAGGGACTGTCTCAGATATCAGTCCCAACAGTTTTTCCACCAATTGAGCTGGGTGAGTGGCATTCTGTGGTCACTGTAAAGCATGAGCAGTTCCAGTGACATCAGTAAGAATCATTCAGAGTGTATATCAGTGAATCTCTTTTGGGACTTGCCAGCAGAAAAGTAAGCCATGTGGCTCTGGGAATCAGTACAGGCAGTCCCCGGGTTACGTACAAGATAGGGACTGTAGGTTTGTTCTTAAGTTGAATCTGTATGTAAGTCGGAACTGGCGTCCAGATTCAGCCCCTGCT